GTGGGGTTGGATTAAATGATGAAAGTCTCACTCTTACGAGTAAACCTAATCACGTTTTCGGCCGCATCAGGTTTTGTTAATTTATAGTTTTAAGTTATTAAACATTTATTTGCTCTAAGTTTAGACACTTTTCTTCTACGCATTTATCATTATTGCCCTTTGTCTCAAAAGCCTAAATAATGTAAACATGACATGAAACACTCTCTCCACTTATTTTAGTTTTGGCTTTTAATTAAAATAGTATTATAAATAAACTCTTTTCTTCTTTTAAAGATTTCACTGTTTGACGAATAAATAAACATTGTTGTAGTACCTGTCAAATTAGTAAAGGGAGAAAACAAAGATTACGCACACACATGCATAGGAAAATATACAAATCTCACGAGAGGTTTGATTCTATCGTGTTTAAAATCATTAATGGACCTTTTCTGCAACTACATACTACATTGTGAACATTGTGTTTTGTAGAAAAAATTATTGAACGTTGGTTTGTGTATACTGTATTTCTTTCCTCGTTGATAGTATTAATGTTTCCCTAAAAGTATTACGTTGATCCTAATTTTTTTACGTCAAAAGATAAAGAAAGAATCACATCATGCATGTTATGTACATAATAAAATCTCGAATCCGAGCCTTGGAATAAATTTTAAGGATAAGACTATAATTACGAACTTGTCGGGGAAAGAAAAAAAAAGAGAGAAAACTTTAAGATGTTAATTAGTTGTTAGCAATTGATACGATCGTACCACTATCTGATGAAATTAAATCAATTCAGTGAACATGAAAACTGATTATAAACCATAATTTTTTTAGGTGGTGCATCAACGTTGTTCGTTCACGCGTTCTAATTATATCCGACGATTTTCTTACACGTAGGCTATGGTTTATGTGTATATATAGAAAAGTTCCGAAATCAACAAACAATGGACGATATAAAAGTCTAATATATATAGGTCGTAATTGCATATTAATAACATACAATAATAATCGTTACTCGTAACAGAATCTTTTAGATATTTCACAATCATCGCCATATCAGTGAGA